AGCCCTCGCCTCCAACCTTGAGAGCATGGGCGGCCAAGTGAGTCTAGCCGGTCAGGCGGTTGTTTCGGCACGCCGGACAGGGGCTAGTAGTCAGCTCCTGTCTGCCGCCTCGGATCATCTGGATTTGGTCAAACGACACTGGACTGATTGTGCTGAGCGGACTCGCAACCTCGTAGACGAGGCTGTTGATGCGAACGCTTTCATCAAGGCACAAGGTGAGCGTTTACTCTGATGCATTCCTTTTTGCCTGGAACACTGATAGCGAAGTCTTCGGTTTAGGGGAAGGCCACGTAGTGCCAAGAATGTGCCTGACACGTGCAAATTGCAGGAAAAGGTGGTGTTTCACTGTATCTGCATATTTTTCCATGTCCCGTACCTGCAAGATCCTCTTAAAATCGACCTGCATAATGGGATTATCAGTCTGTGAACGAAGTGTCATTACTCAATCTGTTGTTTTGTCACGTTCCTTCGGCTGTGCGGCTCCATGATAAGTTTCACTTCGAACCAAAAACTCATCGGATGATTACTTTGGTGTTTCGCAGTTATCCGTTTCAAGAGCCTTCCGACGGTTAAGTCATATTTAACCATTTTCGTGCGGGTTTGCTGATTGTAGGGCATTTTCATGTTTGACATTTAGTCTCCTCCTTGACTTAAACAGCATTCCCTCCGCACATGGTTATCCAAGTCAGACATGAACGAGACTGCCCTGAGATATTGCAAAGGTCTGACACTTCGTTCAAGTGCACTGACCTGACTATGACTTGGCTGCTTTTCCTCCACCCATGATCCCTGACAGGAGCATTTTTTGGGAGCAGGTTATGGGCATTGGGGAATGCAGACAGCCTGACAACCTTTGCTGCGCGACAGTGACCTTATGCTTTCCGTGACGCTGGTGTGTACGCAACAGCCCCCTTTTACTCCGTACTCCATTAACGTACGCACAGGTCCAACGTCTGTGAAAAACCTGCCCTTTCGCTTGCATTCCTCGTTTCTTGCATCTGAATAATGTTCTTTTGGGGAGTATTCTGACGCCCCGAATGACCCCAAAATCACGGTGATAAATCGAGTGCAGAATAATGACGTGGCTTTGTTGCTTTAAACAGGTGTGGTTGTTTTGATGTCTTGGAACTTCGGACAACGCGAAATAATGTCGTTTGGGAAGATGTAATTGAACATTTTGGTTAGACCCGTTACTTTTTGGCCTCGGAAATGTGGTTATTTGCATGATGGGTGGTCTTGCGCGAAATTTCAAGAGGTTAGGGTTACAAGAGCTCGGTTTAGCGCTAAGAGGGATTTTAGTGGTAACGTTAGGCATAAGGATTGGGGTCTAGAAGATTCAGCGTTAGGATGAAAGTTTTAACAAGGGAATAGGTATCTTTCCTTGAGTTTAGAGCAAAGCTACATGTAGTACTGAGGGCAGGGGAGGGAGAGTATCTACGACGGTTTTCATGCCCTATTTTACCCTTCGAGTGCATGTGTTAGTTCTTTTCAAGTGCACCGAGTGCTTATTAGTATTTCACCTCTGTATCTACGTCTTGACCGCCCTGGCTCCAATGTAGTAATCCGAATTCAAATTTCTTCCTTTGTCCTTTTCTGTTTTTTGTGGCGACTATTTGACACACGCTAATTGGTCAATCGTAGACGCTGAGAACCTCAACTGCCCCACGAGGTGGGTGCAGTGCAAATTTGCACAATAATTTGTTTATAGTTAAGTAGATTTGCGCACATTCTAGCTCACATCATTCTTCCTACGTTCACCATGTTCACACGGCAAACAAATTCAAGGTGATTGGAATCGAGCGTTGGCGCAGCGGCTGATTAAACTAACCAGTCTGTCTTTGCGCGCCGAACCTACCAATACGTTCAAGGCCTCGTTAAGAGGGCCCCGAACCTCAGGTAGATTAGACTGTCATAAGAGCCACACCAAGAGATAGTTGCTGCAGCCTGATCCTCTTTCTAGAAGAAAACCACAATTTTCTTTTAGCCGGCGGCCCCCCGACACGTCTTTTTAGGGCCAAGCAAAGTCTTATAATGAAAAATGCACCGATTTATCACGAGAATAGTCTCGTCCTTAGTATCGACTTCGTACACTCTCCCCTGTCTCTTCTATAAATCAAATACTTTTCTGAGCCTGTCGACAGACGGTTGATGAGATGTGCCGGTGGCTGAACAGACTGCATAAGCCTGCTTTACCGTAAACAGTCGCAAATGTAAGCACTGTATTCACCGCCTGAATGACTAGTGGACTTTGTGATCGGCAGTGGTCCTACCCTGTATGGCTGTTCTTTGTGTTCCTGACGGGACAGCCGGACGGGCATTTTCAGTGTTGACGTTTTTTTTCGGTGCACAATGAGGATTAGTCATGTCGGTGACAGTGCAGTGGATTCGAGCGGAGCTGCCGAGACAGCCCATGCCCTAAATGTTACTTGACGGTGCGTACATTTTTCCAGAGTTGACGCCAGTGGCTTGCGGCAGTC